TGGCGGGCATGATAACTCCTCACTGGTACATCGGAATCCGAAAATTCCAACGGTTTTAGAAAGAGTACATGTCTGGCTCTCGTATGAACTAGGAACTAGGACTTCGCTCTAAAATTAACAAAATGGCGGACCTTTGAAAAAATATTTTTGAAAAATCGCCGAATTTTGACCAAAAACCAAGTTAAAAAATGAGGAAGTTATTCACCGATTGGCTTTATCCTAGTTCATATAGCTATACACTCACAGAGAAACGTGTAAAAATTTGAAATCGATTGGGTTATTAGTTTTTGAGTTATCGTGTCCGCCATTCGCAAAAGAGAAAAACGCGTTTAAATTTTGAGAAGCCCTTAGCCGTCACTTGATGCTGACACAATAAATCGGCTATATCTTCAAGAGTTCTTGAGATTTTCACTTGACATTTTGTAGAGACATTATTGAATTAGTGTAGAATCGAATTAAATCAAAAAAATGTTTGACCCCGAGAATGGACCCCCCAAATCAACAAATCAACACGCAACTATGAGCGAAAATAACAAAAAGAACGATGAAAGAGAGAGAGAGATTCAAAGGAACTAAGTAGGAGTCGGAACTATAAAGAGCAAAGGAACTATAAAGAGCAAAAGACCTGTATTGAGTAAAGGAACTATATGGAACAAAGGAACTTATGGAGCACAGGAACTATATGGATCAAAGGAACTATATGGAGCAAAGGAACTATATGGAGCAATGGAACTGCATTGAGTAAAGGAACTATATGGAGCAAAGGAACTATATGGATCAAAGGAACTATATGGAGCAAAAGAACTATATATGGAAAAAACGAAAAAAGAACGATGAAAGAGAGAGATTCAAAAGAACTGTGTAGGAGTCGGAACTGTATGGAGTAAAGGAATTATATGGATCAAAGGTACTATATGGATCAAAGGAACTATATGGAGCAAAGCAACTATATGGGAAAATAAAAAAAAAACATAAAGAACGATGAAAGAGAGAGATTCAAAGGAACTATGTAGGAGTCGGAACTATATGGAGCAAAGGAACTACATTAAGGAACTAGTTCCTTTTTAAACTAGGAACGAGAACTAAGTGAACTAGATTGCCCAACTCTAATAATTGGTACAATTTTGATTTGGGCAAACCGATAAAGCTGGAGCACTGAAATTTTGAAATATGGTTACTTTTGGAGTGTAGGGTAGTTTTGGAAATTCATACTTATGGGTACAAAATGTTGGGGGGTAGAATTGGGGTTATGTAGGAAGTTCTGGAAACGTACTAATTTGTGGTAAATGATACCAAATTCGCATTTGGGTGTACTGATAGAGCTAGAACACTGAATTTTGGAAATGGGCGAACCGATAGAGCTGAAATCTTGAAATTTGAAGTTAAATTTGGTAAAATTTGAATTTTTGATGGACCGATAGAGGTCACTTGGGGAGTAGGATTGAGTTTATGTATGAAGTTTTGGAAATTCGTACTACTGTGTGCTAAATGGTACCAAATTTGGATTTGGGTGAACCGATAAAGCTGGAACACTGAAATTTGGGAATAAGGTTACTGTGGAGTTGGAGTTAAATTTGGTAAAATTTGAATTTTTGGTGGACCGATAGAGGTCACTTGGGGAGTAGGATTGAGCTTATGTATGAAGTTTTGGAAATTCGTACTACTGTGTGCAAAATGGTACCAAATTTGGATTTGGGTGAACCTATAGAGCTGGAACACTGAAATTTGGAAATAAGGTTACTGTTGGAGTGCAAGATTGGGGTATGGATGTAGTTTTGGAAATTCATATTTAAGGGTACTAATTATTGTACTAAATTTTGTACAATTTGAATTTTGCGTGAACTGATAGAGCTGGTATCCTGAAATTTGAAGTAAGGATCACTGTCGTGATTGGAAATGTGAATTTAGGTGAACCGATAGAGCTGGAATCTTCACATGTGGAGTTGGGATCATAGTTAGGGTGTTGGATTTAGAGTGTACCGATAGAGCTGGACTCCTGAAATTGGATAATAACATTGCCATAGGATTGCATGATGTAGGTAGTAACGGAAATTTGTACTTATGTGTACTAAATGGTACTAAATTTTATACATTTTGGATTTAGTTGAACCGATAGAATCCTGAAATTTGAAATTAAGTTTAGAGTTGTGGGAAGTTTTGGATATTCTTACTTAAAAGTAGGTAGCTATCGAAATTTATATTAATGTGTACTAACATGCACTAAATTTGGATTTGGGTGAACCTATATTTCAAATTGGGAATTTTTCTTTTCGAAATAGGTATTACAAGAGTGCATAGGGTAATAAATGATACCATATTTAGTATAGAGCTAGATTTCTGTTGCAGACCGAATTGGTGTGTAGGGTTGAGATATGGAGGTAGTTTTTAAAATACGTACTATAAGGGAACATATGTCCTAAATAGTTCTAAAATTTTAATAATGGCCGGTATTGGGTTTTAAATACTTCCCACATTCGATAACAAAGTAGCGGGCATATGCTAGTATTTTATAAAATGTATCAAATGTGGCACAGCTTATTTAATTGACCCAACGACGAAACCTACTGAAATTACTGAAAATCGGTACAGATTCAATAGTTCACTAATGTTCCAATGATTGTCCCATTGATACACAATTTTGCAGAGCATACAATATTGAGCGTGGACGAACTCAAAATAGTGTTAATCTGGCGCATTTTTTTTCGTAATGTTCTTCAAAAACATCTGTTTTCACTTCAGGATCCCATGGTCCCGTAAAATTCAGCAATTTCGATAGTAAAATTCAGATATAACCTGTAAAATACCGAATATGAGACGGTACCGCTATATGGGGGCTATGGAATTTGAAATAACAACTTCCATAGAACTAGAAGGAAAGCATGTGGGAAATTTCAAAATTTCCCGGCCGATATTGGACATTTTGAATATGCAACTCCTCGGTCCAGTCGAACGTAATTCACTTTTTATACCCTTCACCACACTGTGGTACAGCGTATTATGTCTTTGTGCATATGTTTGTAACAGGTAAAAATAATCGAGATAGACTCATGGTTCCTTTTGAGAATATGCATAGAATCACTTTCTAAGTCCATTTATGCCTGTCCGTCCGTCCGTCTGTCCATGTTAAATTGTAAACAAAGTACAGGTCGCATTTATGATCCGAATTGGATGAAATTTGGCATAGGTCACTTACTCGGCCCAAGGACGAACCCTATTGAAATTGAGAAAAATCGGTTCAGCTTTAGATATAGCTTCCATATATATATTTAACCGATTTAATGTAAACGAACCCTATATATCTTTGGATTTGCACGAAATTTGGTACAGCCTAATCATTTAGGTCTACAAAGATGTCTGCTAGGTTTCGTGAAAAATCGGTCCAGATTTAGATATAACTCCCATATATAGTTTCGTCCGATTTCATGTAAATGGTGCCCCAAAGTCCCTATATATCTTTTGATTTGAACGAAAGTTGGCATAACGTACTGAATTAAGCCTAGAGTGATGTCTGCCAAGTTTCGAGAAAATCGGTCCAGATTTAGATATAGCTCCCACATATTGTTTCGTCCGATTTCATGTAAATGGTGCCCAAAGTCCCTATAAATCTTTCGATTTGCACGAAATTTGACATAACGTACTGAATTGAGCCTAGAATGATGTCTGCCAACTTTCGAGAAAATCGGTCCTGATTTAGATATAGCTCCCATATATAGTTTCGTCCGATTTCATGTAAATGGTGCCCCAAAGTCCCTATATATCTATCGATTTGCACGAAATTTGGCACAACGTACTGAATTGAGCCTAGAATGATGTCTGCCAACTTTCGAGAAAATCGGTCCTGATTTAGATATAGCTCCCATATATAGTTTCGTCCGATTTCATGTAAATGGTGCCCCAAAGTCCCTATATATCTTTCGATTTGCACGAAATTTGGTACAGCTTAATCATTTAGGTCTAGAATGGTGTCTGCCAAGTTTCGTGAAAATCGGTCCAGATTTAGATATAGCTCCCATATATAGTTTCGTCCGATTTCATGTAAATGGTGCCCAAAGTCCCCATATATCTATCGATTTGCACGAAATTTGGCACAACGTACTGAATTGAGTATAGAATGATGTCTGCCAAGTTTCGTGAAAATAGGTCATGATTTACATATAGCTCCCGCATATACTTTCGTCCGATTTCATGTAAATGGTGCACCATAGTCCCTATATATCCTTCGATTTGTACGAAATTTGGCATAACGTACTTAATTGAGCCTAGAATGATGTCTGCCTTGTTTCGTGAAAATCGGTCCAGATTTAGATATAGCTCCCTTTTATTATAGATTAGTTTTAAGTAATTGACGCACCAAGGAACCAATAGAAACAAAACATTATGAAATTAGTATAACCTAACCTGTGACAAGTTTGTTTGAAATCGCTTAATATTTGGATAGACCTTCCATATATATTTTCGCCCGATTTCAAGTAAATTGGGCATCAAACTCCTCATGTTAGTCAGATTAATATCAAATTTTGCATATTGTACAAAATTGAGCATAAAATTATATAGTTGCGTTTTCTAGAAGTACAGACATAGCCCAACGGATGACCTATTTATATTTGTTTGAAGCCGATTTACATACTTTATAGATAGATCTAGGTAGATTCACATTTAGATAAATATCACTTATTTTATTTCATCCAATTTCATGCAAATAGTCCTGTTTAATATACCCGTAGTGGTGAAGGGTATGATATAGTCGGCCCAGTCCGACTTTACTACTTTCCTTACTGGTTATATCATAATAGATATATTCATTATCAGAATATATATTTTTTAATCTCTAACTCACTATTAATTCTATTGAAATCTTCATAAAAAGGTTCAAATGACCGATACACAGATCTATACGATGTGGGATCAAAACATACTGTAAAAAGTACAAGGAAGTAGTTGAATATATTGTCAAATTGTAAAAACAAATTTTTCAAATTTACAAATTACAAATTCAAAATATGTCTAAATGTCGAAAAGATGGAGACTGGTTCTACACTGAATCTAAACCACTTACGTTGAAAACTACAACCCACGAAATGTTAGAAGCGGAGCAAAAAAATTCTGCAAAGTCAAAAATTATTGGTCGTAAACAATTAAATTTCCAATCGTATCCTATGAATGAGTAAGTATGGAGAATGCAATGAGGCCACATTGAATTAATTTTTTATTCACCACCACTAATAGTTTCCGTTTTAATTTGATGCGTTTCAATGAACCGCAAATATTACCACTGACCACATCATATCGTCGGGATTATGCGCCACCCTTTCCATCATATCCATGCAAACCAAAAACCAAAGATGAGTCAAATATACCAGATCCATTGTTTAATCGTAAACCACCCAGTGAGTTCGGAATGCGACAAACATCTAAATTTAAATTTATGGATGATCAATTTGTAAATTTGTCCGAGTCGCGTAAGAAAATTAATTTTATGCGGCAAATGAGGTAAGCAATTTGAAATTGAATAGACTTTTTAAAAAATTAAATATTTTTTTTTAATTTTGTTTGTAGGAATGCTCATTTTAAATTGGTATAGGCCATTAGTTGAATGTAAACTACCTAAACACAACTGATATTACTATCGGAATAAAATCATTTAAAATAATTCTTATTCACCTCAACTCATTCAAAATTAGTTCTACACTTAATTTGGTAAGCTATGGCAAATTTCGACGCAATGGAATAAACATCAGGTATTTATTTCACAACTTGCATTAATTCAAACGAAGAGATATATTTGAATCTGAACCGATTCAACTAAACTTAGTATACGTTCAATAGGGTATGATCTGCAAAATTTCGTATCAATCGGTTAAACATTGGCGCTTGATAAACTGTTGAATCATTACCAATTTTCAGTAATTTTAGTAGGTTTGCCATTCCGTTTGCAACGTTTTTCGAAATAGCCATCGAAGACGCCATATAGAATATATATTCTGAATCAGAATCTGATTCAATGTCGATTAAGCCCTGCCCGTCTGTCTGTTGAAGTCACTATCGAGATCGTAATAATTAAGATAGAGCTCTGATATTTTGCACAGGCATTGCTAGGTACTTCTAGGATGTTTGGTGTAGCAATTTGTTTAGCCCCCATATAACAGTACCCCAATATTCGGTATTTTGAGGACTTTTTATTTAACGGAATTGACTGTAATTTGGTATTTAGGGTTCTCAATGTTTAAAGAACCTGCCTACTAAAAATTATTAATATTGAATCAAGGTTTGATAACCTCCAATATTCGGTATTCACATCTTTTTCATCAGAATTGGCTATAAGTATCTATTTTGGACTCTTATTGGGCATTCAAAAATTATCAATATGGGTTCCCGTTTTGGTGTAGCCCCAGTTTTTGGCATGTTCAAGGTACAAGCCCAGCCGGAGTGCATGCAGCTCAAGAGCAGTGGTGCACCATTTACGTAAAATGGGACTAAAGAATATATGAGAGTTGTACTTTAATCTGAACCGATTTCAAATTAAATTTCGTGAATAATTACATAAAATCGGACGAAAATCGGACATAAAATAGGACGAAAATATATATGGGAGCTATGTCTATATCTAAATCTATTTCAACAAAACTTAATGGACGTCAACATGCAGTAATTTCAGGACGCTATGCAGAATTTTGACTCAATTGGAAAAACATTGACAGTATGGTGTACCATTTACATGAAATCGGAGGAAACTATATATGTGAGCTATATCTAAATCTAAACCGATTACAACAAAACTTCGCATACATCAATTTGGACCTAATTTAGTACGAGGTGCAAAATTTTGTGTCAATCTGCCTAAGTTTGGCTCCTGGTGCTTCAATTTCATAAAATCAGACGAAACTATAAATCTGAACCGATTTCAACAAAACTTTGCATACATCAATCTGGACCTAAGTCAGTAGTCTGTGCAAAATGTTGTCTCAATCGGAGCAATATTGACAGTATTGTGTACAATTTACTTAAAATCGGATGAAACTATACATGGGAGCTATATCTAAATCTTCCGATCCGATCCGATTTCAACAAAACTTTGCGAACTTAAATTTGGACCTAATTCAGTATTCTGTGCAAAAATTTTGTCTCAATCGGACCAATATTGGGAGTTTGGTGCAGCATTTACATAAAATCGGACGAAATTATGTATGGGAGCTATATATAAATCTGAACCGATAGGGTTCGTTCTTTGGGCAAGTAAGTGACATGTGCCAAATTTCATTGAAATCGGATCATAAATGCGACCTGTACTTCGTTCACAAAAATACATGGACTGACAGACGGACAAATCGACTCAGAATATGATTATATTCATATTCTCGAAAGGAACCATGGGCCTAAGTCGATTCCTTTTGCGTGTTACAAACATATGCACAAAGCCTTAATACCCTGTGCCACAGTGTAATGAAGGGTATAAACAGAGCCGAACAATGAGTGGAGGATGTATTGAGAGAAATGCATTTTTATACCCTTCACCACACTGTGGCACAGGGTATTATGTCTTTGTGCATATGTTTGCAACAGGCAAAAATAATCTAGATAGATCCATGGTTCCTTTTGAGAATATGCATAGAATCATTTCTGAGTCGATTTATGCATGTCCGTTTGTCCGTCCGTCCATGTATTTTTGTGAACAAAGTACAGGTCGCATTTATTATCCGATCTGGATGAAATTTGGCATATGTCACTTATTTGGCCTAAAGACGAACCCTATTAAAATTGGAGAAAATCGGTTCAGATTTAGATATAGTTCCCATATATAGTTTCGTCCGATTTAATGTAAATGGTGTACCAAAGTCCCTATATAACTTTCGATTTGCACGAAATTTGGTATAGCCTACTGAATTAGGTCTAAAATAATGTGTTCTAAGCTTTGTGAAAATCGGTTCAGATTTAGATATAGTTCCTGTATATAGTTTCGCTGGATTTTATGTAAATGGTGCACCGAAGTCCCTGAAAATCATTTGATTTGCACGAACTTTGGTGATATCTTTCGATTTGCACGAAATTTGGCACAGCGTACTGAATTAGCTCAAGAATGATGTGTGTTAAGTTTCCTGAAAATCGGTCCAGATTTAGATATAGCCCCCATATCTATTTTCGTCCGATTTTATGTAAATGGTATACCAAAATCCCTATATATCTTTCGATTTGCACGAAATTTGGCACAGCGTAATGAATTAGGTCTAGAATGATGTGTGTTAAGTTTTCTAAAAATCGGTCCAGATTTAGATATAGCTCCCATATATATTTTCGTCCGTTTTAATGTAAATGGTGTACCAAAGTCTCTATTTATCTTTCGATTTGCCGGAAATTTGGCACAGCGTAATGAATTAGGTCTAGAATGATGTGTGTTAAGTTTCCTGAAATCGGTCCAGATTTAGATATAGCTCCCATATATTTTTTCATCCGATTTAATGTAAATGGTGTACCAAAGTCCTTATAAATCTTTCGATTTGCACGAAATTTGGCGTAGCGTAATGAATTAGCTACAGCATGATGTGTGTTAAGTTTCCTGAAAATCGGTTCAGACTTAGATATAGCTCCCATATATACATTCGTCCGATTTAATGTAAATGGTGTACCAAAGTCCCCCTATATCAGTCGATTGGTGCGAAATTTGGCGTAGCGTAATGAATTAGTCTATAATGATGTTGCCTGAAAATCGGTCCAGATTTAGATATAGCTCCCATATATATTTTCGTCTGATTTAATGTAAATAGAATAACCTAGAAGTTGGTTTTAAATGCTTTACCATGGTGGGTCCAATCGGCACAAAATTTTGCTCTACGTACTGAAGTTACTATAACATAACGTGTGGCGAGTTTATTTGAAGTCGGATTAGATTTTGATATATATATATATATATATATATATATTTATAATTAATTTTCATAACTTTGTCCCTTGTCCTTTAAAAATTCGACGTCTTTTACGTTTCATCTGTTGGATATGCCGAAAGTGGTGAAAGGTATCATATAGTCGGTCCCGTCCGACTTTACAACTTTCCTTGCTGTTTTTTTTTTCAAAAAAGTAAAAGACGAATGGAAAATGGGCGCAAATAGTGGCAGGTAGAAACATAGCTGTGATATTAATGAAATGTTTATTATTATATTTTTTAATAAAAGCTTTCTCATGATTGATCACATTTATCAGTACTGTGTTTCCCACCAGCGATCTTCCGTGTCGAACTCTCTGTATTATGAAATATAGTCACAGGTAGGCTATAAACTTTATATTTAGTTAGTTAGGAGTTAAGATATCCTAGCCTATTGGTAAAAGAGCTGAAATCTGTTGAAGTCTTTAGTTCGAAATCGTATATTTGACCATACTTTCTAGCACAGTTTACACTTACCCCATTTCCAAAAACATAAATGATATAGTCTTATTTTTGTACAAGTTGTTTTTTATTCAATTTATTTGAAAAAAGATTATTTTTTAACATATTTGGAATAAATGTATTTTTTTCTCATTTTTTTTATTTGTTTGGGTTTTTTTTTTGCATTTTAGGGATCTCAGTAATTTTAGTTAAGCATTGAAGAGAAATGAGGAACAGATAAATAATAATTTATAATCTATTTGTTTGTTAAATTTTACAATAAATAAAAAAACAAGAAAACTATTTAAATAATTAAAACATATTTATTTAAGTTGGTTGGTTTTATATTAGATTAAACTAAAATTTATTTTACAGAAGTTGAAATTTCATTTAAGGGATTTTGTTTTTTTAATATTTAAAGATATTTTTTTTGTTATAGTTCAAACAAAATATCAATTTATTTTCTATATAATAATAAGGTTTCATTTGTTGGTTGATTTTTTGTTTTTGTTTTTTTTTTCTTTCTTGTAGTAAAATTGTTATATTTATTTATTATTAAATTTTATTTGTTCGTGCCTAAGTTTTGTGTAATAATTATTTTTTTATTATTATTAATTAATATTATTTTTTTTATATTTTTGTTGTTGGTATTAGCAATTTGTTGTTGTTGTTATTTTCAATTTATTTATTTTTTGTTTTGAATAATATTTGCAATGCTAGAAAATAATTGCATTTTTTATTATTTTTTTGTTTTATTTTATATATATGAAAATAGCTTTGTTTTGGACAAAATTAATTATAAAAAAATTATTTTATTTTCTTATATGTTTTAGCAAAGTTGTTATTAGAAATTGTTGTTTGAATTGTGAAAAGAAATTTTTATTTAATTTTATATTTTTTTGCGAAAAAAATACTTGTAGTATTTTTTATTTGTTATCAAAAAAATATATATGGAATATTATTTTTTATAATTTTTTTATTTATTCATATTAATTTTATTATTTTTAACACTATTTCCTATATTGAGGACAAGTTTTGTTTTTGTTTTTTCCTTTTGCTTTTGTAAGTTCATTTGGTTTTTGTATCAGTGATTTTCTTAAAGTTTTTTGTTGTTATAAATATTTAAACCTGCATATTTTATATTACGGATTTATGATTAGTATTATTTATAATTTTTATATATATATTTCTTTATTTGACTAATTTTGTTTTCCTAATTTCAGATT